TGAAATTCTAGGCTAAGACGTGAGTCTGATGACATCTATGGAAAACAATTTTATTTGCTTTTAGAAGAGCACTTGAATAGTTAGGATTCCTGCCCAAAGTTACTGACCTCCATGCTTCATGATGTGATGGAATGGAAAGTTACATTGCGGCAGCCGTGGCCAGGCCACAGTGCAGGCTGGGGGGAGTGGGAGGGGACGACTGTCATTCATGCCAGCAAGCGCTTTGGGCCTGGACTTAAAACCCTGCCCCTCCGGCAAGTACATCTATTGCTTATATGGTGGGTATCTAAAAAACAGCCCTGGATGGCCAGCTACTCACTCTGGTCTCATCCCCTTGCTCTAAAGCCTGGTTCCATAACCCTCAGTCCCTCACCCTGTGGTCATCATCAGGACCCTTGAAGACCTGGACCTTTAGGGTTGTCCTGCCCCAAATCTACTTTCAAAAGGAAGGGGCAGTATTTCTGAGGCATACATGCCATTCCATGCTTGGTAGCCATCAAGCCTGCTACTGCTAAGGGTGAGGTCTTTAATGTCCCTCTAATATGACATCCTGGCTCTGGGCTTGTAGCAGGTGACCTGGGCTCAGAGGGGAGACCCAGTTCCTCCTTTGGTTAAGCCTCAGGCCCACTATGGGAAAGATGTATGTAAGGACACAATTCAAGGTAACCTCCAAGGTCCAACTTCCTGGAGCTCCATCTGCCTGCTTGGCTACCTCACTCCCAAAGGATGCAACTAAGTCCGCTAGTCAATTATGCTGACCAAAAAGCACCAGCTCCCACATGCCCAGGGCTCCAAACTGCTCAGAGCAGATGGGCAGAAGGAGAGGGCGGGAGTGGAGGATGGGTTTGAACTGGCAACAGACCTGGGCTGGGTTCCGGCTCCTCCTCCCATTGACATCATGGGCTTTTGGCTGTGTGGTACCTCACTTTCCCTAGCTTTTAACTGGACCTAACAGAAGTAGCTACCTTAGGGAGATTTGTGACAATTAAATGAGATAATCATTATAAAATGCCAACCTAAACATTCTTGTTTTTTGTTTTATGTTTGTGTGCTGGATTGAACCTAGGGCTTTGTGTATGGTAGGTAAGCATTCTAGCACTAAGCTACACCCTCAGCCCCTAACCCAGGCATGCTAACCTAGCAGAGGGGTCACTTAATGGTAAATCACAACTGGAAAGCACCGTAAGGTATATTATGCTATAAATTATCAAGGGAGACTTCTAGTAGCTACATATTATTATTATAAACCTTCATCAGGTTATTAATTAAGAGCCATCTGGAGACTGAGCAGTCAAACGCTGGAACATTCTGTGGCCACCTTCTTAAAGGAAGGGGCTGCCTGCCTGAAAACACAGTCTCAGAACATCCTGTGGGGCCACTTTCCCAAGGATAATCACTGGTCTGTCCAAAGCCCAGGTTGGAACCCAACCGCCCAAACAAACACGCCTTCCTCCCCATGGGGCCAGGCCAGAATAAGCGTCTTATGTCACTGATAACCACAGGCCAGGGTTGGAACAATGTTGATCCAACTAGCGGTGACCTCATTTCCTTGGATTACACACTCATGGTGAGAGAGGGGCGCTGACCCACTGCGGTCATATAGTGGCTGGTGAGGGCTCTCCACCCAGGAAGAGAAAGTTACCTTAAGATCTTCCCAAACCTGCTGGGCTTCCAAGGGGTCAGAGAGGCTTCCATGAATGTAAAACCCCAAAGGGACGACCCTTTTTCACTCTGCCGGCTCCTTAAGTCCGCTGTCCCTGCCCCTTTTAAGGAGGTAATAGGGAAGGAGGGGCCCTTAGGGTCACTGTGCTTCCGTGGAAGCGACAGACTCTTCTCATTCTGCCTCCCCATCTTGACACTAAAAAGGAAGCATGCCGGTCCCTAACCCGACACAAGGCAAACACCGTATGGGCCCTTGCACTTTTTTAAGCCTCCTCTTGCCGCTCATCTTTACTCCTCTCTGGGGATGTGGTAGGATCAGAAGGCAGGAAGAGGAAGTCCCAGAGCAGAGGAGGAGCCAGCAGCAGAAGCACACTGTGCCCTGCCCTTGGTAAACAGCTGAGTGGAGCTCTGGGCCGAGCTCTGGAGCGGCATGCTCGCTTGGGGCACCTGGAGCACTCCAGGCACACAGCAGGTGGGGCCCTGCCTGTTCCACTCCCCAGCTCTGACGTCAAAACTCACTTGTCAGTGCCCTACCTTGCAACCTCACCACTAACCAAGCTGACTAATTCTATTCTTGAGTTGTTAGCAGGATGCCAAAGAGACGGGCTCTTAAAAGTAAAGGACTGGGCAGGGTGAAGAGCAGCTCCTAAACCTGCTCAGAGTTCGGTAGGGAGTCCGCAGGCAGGCCAGTGGACAGTACAGCCCACCAGGCACTAGGTTAAATATCTTCCTGCTAAATAACCTGTTTAATTCTCACAAGTTATGACAATATTGCACCTTGTCCATTTTACATCCTTTTGCTTTTTTCTTCAGAACACATCAAATATCAAAATAATATACAATCACCTCTTTGTATGCATGGGTTCCACGCCCATGGATTCAACCAACTATGGACTGAAAAACATGGGAAGCCTGGGGGTGCAGCTCAGTGGCTGAGTACTTGTCTAGCATGCGCAAGGCCCTGGGTTCCATCTGCAGCACCAGCTACCCACAAACACACACATACCCATACACACTCTCACACACTCACACACAATGTGTCTGTACTAAAAATATACAGACATTTTTCTTGTCATTATTCTCTGCACAAAATGGTATTGCAATGACATACATGACATTTGCATTATATAAGTTATTTTAAGTTCATCTAGACATGATTCAAAACATATACAAGGATGCATACAGGTTATATGGAAATACTAGGCCATATTATGCAAGGCACTTGAGCACCTGGATTTTGTTATTTTTGGTGGGCCCTGGAATCCATCCCCCCAAAATGCTGCGGGACAAGTGGAGTGTAGCTCTGTCTGCTTGTTGGCTGTCTGTCCAACACTGCCATTTCAGCTCTGCTGAGCATGGGTGTGCACAGCAGTGAACATGCAGACCTGGGCCAGTGCTCTCATAACCAAGGAGTGGGTCTCACTGATACTCAGCTGTGTCCACAGCTTTGGTTGGACCTACACCACCTTCTACCTTCTACCTTGCTTGCTTACTCTGCCCCAGTCATATCATTCTATCTTTTTTTTTTAAGACAAGGTCTTGCTATGTAGTTCAGGTTGTCCTTGAACTCACTATATCACTATGTAGCCCAGGTTGGTGATGAACTCGGGGTGATCTGCCTGCCTCAGCTTCCTAAGTGCTGGGATTATAGGCGTATGCCACCATGCTCAACAGGTCAGCCATCTTTCTGCTCGTTGCATACACTGGATAATTCCTGCCTCAGGGCCTGTTTGTTCTTGCTGGTGTCCCCGTTTACAACATAGAAAGCCACCAGCCTAAGTGCCTGGTCCTTGCTGCTATGATAGGTGCATATTACTCAGGACATCATAAGTGCAGAGAATAAACCACCTCATCCCAGAAAGTGTAGCCTGAGGAGGTCACCAAGTTGTACCTGGCCCACAGTACGTACTTCATAAGTCTCAATAGCAGGTCACAAACTCTTGCTTCTCTCTCTGCTCCTACCTCTGATTCAAATGAAGTCATTCCCGAGACACTGAATGGCCCGAATGTGCACAGAGGGGAAGACGCTCGCCTCAGCCAAGGGTCACCTCCCCCTTTAGGGGTCAGAGAGCAACAAAACGCTTTCTGTGACCCCTGCATGGCTACAGAGGTCACGTCCTGAAGAGTAGACACAGCCTTTTCCAAAGCTGGAAGGGAGCTTTGACTCTGGTTTGCTCTTACTCAATTGGCCAGCAATACTGAGACTCAGAGAGGTTTAGCAACTTGTCCGGGGTCACACAACAGTGAAGTAGCAAGTAAGCAGATCTGGGTTTTCCAATGCTACGTCCGTTGTTCTCCCTGCCAATCTGTGAGGCCTCTCTGGCTAGGTTCCCTTAGGTTAAAAAACAGGAACGAAATGCAAGGGAAGAAAAGCCTCCCACACAGGGCAGAGGTGAAGCTACACAGAAAAAAAGAGCTCAGGTCCGGGGCCATATCAGTACCCCTACAGCTTGGAAGCCAGGTGGGCCTGGGCGCCATCACCTAACTGTAACAGAGGGCAGGTCCCTTCACCTCTCTGAGTCTCAGCCATCTCCTGGACCATCTGAAAGTGAAAGGTGGTAAGATCTGCCTAACATCAGGGCCATCTGTGCCAAAGCAGCTGAGCTGTAGCTTCCCAGCGTCTATGACTGAGAGGGAGGCAAAACCAAGATATTCCATGAGTAGGAAAAAAAATTCCAGCGTTGGCTCAGCTGTTCCATGGCTTTGTGGGCTGTAAACGCAGGAATGAAGAGGCTTTGAAACCAGTGGCCGAGGCAGGAAGCTCCATCCCAGAGAGCAACGGAGGAACAATTCCAGTGGCATTTTGTATTACACACCCCAAAGCGCTTAATGGACTAAGGACAGCGGGTAATTCTAGGAATCAGTGATGGATCAAGTCTGCGTCATGGCACTTGCTGCCAGGAAACCCCCGACCCACCCCAATTCCTCCGAGAGCCTGGCCTGAGAAACGAGAGGGGGCCTAGAAGACAGGCTGGCCAGATTTCGCTGGCTTCAACTCCCCGCCAGAAGCCACATTGAGGAATGCCCTGACATGATTCAGAGGAGAGAAAGCCCACCGGCCAAACAAAGGGATGCGAGAGAAGGGTGAATAACTTCTGTTCAGGTGTGGACTTGCAGAGGCCCCACCCACCTGAGCCCAAACGTTTTCTTACACTTTGATAAAGCACACTCACATTTGGTTTAAGTTTAAAACCCTTCCTATGAAATGAGATTAACTGATGTCATCGAATTGCCAACAGACAGAGGATTTGAAGATTTCTGCCCTTTTAAAAAATACTCCCCTCTGCTCAGTTGGGTCCCAGAAAGCCCATGATGCCCCACACCAGGACAGGACTTACACTTCTGTTGTGATGAATCCGGTGAGTTCTGAAAGGAAGAGGAAGAGGATGAAGAGGCAGCAGCAGATGGAGACTGCAAGAAATGACATGGAGCATCAGACAGTTAAAAAGAGGAGGCCAGCCCTCCCAACCCCCTGCCAGCTAAGGAGGAAACCTGCCCCAGGGCCCTAGCATGCACTGGCACAGGCAGTGCTCCCACTGACCCTCCAAAGCCCCCTCTTACTTGTGGCCTTTGTATGAAGCAGTTCTTCCCCTAGGAAGGGAGTCTGGTACTATCTGATTCAGGTTAGAGTGTGCCTCCCGCATGTGTTCGAGCCTCCTGGAGCCTGCCCACCTCCACCCCTCCAGCACTCTTTAATGCAGGTCAGTCTGAAAGAAAGGTGCACCCTGGGGCCCACCATGGGCTTCTGTTTGGCCTGAGTGACTTTTTTTTCCTGTCTGTCTGACTTCTGTGTTACAAATTGAACCCAGGGCTCCACACATACCAAGCTCTACCACAGAACTATATCCTATTTCCCTGAAAATAAGACTTAATCAGAAATGAGCCTTAGCATGATTTTTCAGGATGCTTGAAATAATAGCCCTACTCTCAAAATGAGCCCCAATTCAGAATGGCAGCCAGACGGATACATTTAGTATGGCTGTGGCAACGTACTACGGACTTAACTGATTTATACTGGTGCTTCAGAAAATGATGTGATTATAGTTGAATACATGTAGGTTTTTCTATCTGGATAAACGCAAATTGTTGTACATGATAAATAAGTCATTCCCTGAAAATAAGCCCTATTGTGTCTCTTGGAGCAAAAATTAATACAAGACCCTGTCTTAGTTTTAGGGAAATGCAGTACCTACAGCACAGAGTAATGTGTATTTTAAAATTTGGAGTCTGCATTGAACATTTGAGGGATTTCACATGAAAGTGCTGATTTCTGACTTTTGCAGCACACCCAGCCTTGTATCCATGTAAAGCAGTGATGATGAGGGCACGTGCGTCACAGCCGCGCCTCTGCTGATGCGGAGCCTGGGACCCCTGGGCTGCCACAGGCCATGTTCTCTCCCATCTCCCCGCTTCCGAGACGAGGCAGAGTCTGCTGCCACTCGTCTGTACATGCAGACTTTCCCTTTTACAGTGGGGTGAAGGTGGTACCCATTCCACAGAAACAATGCTTTCAGTTCTGATCTTTCCCCGGGCTAGAAATACACGTGGCATTCTCTCATGATGCTTGGCAGGGCAGTCAGCCCCACGGTCACCAGGAGGAACAGCCGTGTCCGAAACAGTGCTACTGCTAAGCTGCCAGGGCTGGGAGTCGGGAGAATCCGATGCTTGTGGGGTGTGTTGGGTTTTTTTTTTTTTTTTTTTTTTTTTTAGATAGGAGTCTCCCTAGCTTAGCTGGGCTGACCTTAAGCTTGTGATCTTCTAGTCTTGGCCTCCAGAGTTGCTGGGATGATAGTCACCAGCTAAAACATCCAGCTCAATGCATTTTTGATTTATGGTATTTTCAACCTAGAGTAGATATAAACCTATCAAGAGTTGAGAGGCATCTGTATTTTTCTATATCTATCTACCTTCCCTTCTACCTTCCTATTTTCCTATTTACTTTTTTTCCTATCTATCAATCTATTATATATCATCCTATCTGTCTATCTGTCTGCCTACCTACCTATCAAAGATGCATTCTGATTGGGGAAGAGAACAAGCATCTTGCTGGGCACCTACTGCAAGCTCATTGTGGGTGCATTAACATACAGGCCACCATGTCATGCTCCTACCAGTCCTGATGTGGGCCCTCGCCGTGTTAAAGGCTCAGGGAAAGAAACGGACTGACTGCCATGTGGGTTGGGGCAGACAGGATGGAGTGCCTGTATATTAGAGCCAGAGCACTGAGGAAAGGGTCTCCAGAGACTTGGGCTACACATGAAGGGTAGGATGTTATCAAACTACATGGAATATCCTTACAATTATGCTGAGTTGTCCTGGGGGACTACAATACTCCCAGTGTCTACTTAACTTTCAAAAAGTACAGTGGTAGCATTTAAGGGTTTTACTTTATATGTTATGGTCTGTGTCTAGATGTCCCCCCAAGGCCTCATGTGGTCAGAGTGGGGCTTTTTCAGAGGCGGCTGGATCTAGAGTGTGTGATGCTGGGATTAAGTGTGTGTGATTACTAAGTCCACGACTGGTTTGGCATCACCCTGGTTCTGGCTGTCTAGACAGACTATAAAAGGGACAGAAAAAGGCTGCTGGGGTCCTCGCTTGCCTTGATCTTTCTGTCCACTGTGAACTATTTCTCCTCTGTGATGCCCCTCTGCCATGTGTCATCCCGCTATGGAGCCAGCTGATGATGGACTGAAACATCTACAAATTGTGAGCTAAAAAAACCCCATTTCCCTTTAACTTTAGACGTTGAGTATTTTGTCTCAGCAATGAGAGAAAAGTAACTAAGATAGTATGTATAAAGGTACCCTGTGTGAGTCATTCTCGATCCAAGCTCCTATCCCTGCAACAGTTTTGTGTGTTTTCCTGCAACCATATAAGGATGAAGATGTAATGTGTGTACCTAAATAGGGTTTCTGTACTGTGAATGTATTTAACATGTATTGAAAGTATGTACTAACAAAAAGTACATAATTACATATTAATACAAACATAAAAATCATTGTTACACATTATAAGTCACATATATATTTAGTTCAAAAATCCCTATTCTTTCTAAATAGCAGCATAATAGGCACACCTTTTCCAGTCATGCTTTGCGTATTCAGCAACCTGTATCTACATGGACTTCACATTTATACAGTGGCCATGATTTGCTGGAGTTTTTTTTGTTGTTTCCTTTTTTAATGGCATGGAAATGAATTTCAAATGTCTTCTCTAGCTGCTGAAAAAATCCATTAGAGAAGCTATGCTACCAACCCAAATTCTTTGAATACTGGTTTTTCCCTTCTCATCTGAAACTGTGGTTACTATACTTCCCCACCCCATCCCCAAAAATTTCTCCAAGAAGACAAAGCATCCTGCATCTGGAACCTTGCACCTTTTCTGTTAAGCACCATGTAGGACTCACAGGGCAGAATCATTTCCACCACCCCATGCCATGTCCCATAGATGCTATTACAATGAGTAGGTACAGTTGTGTGTAGGTCCATGCTGACTTAGATGGACCCAAGGCTTCCAGCTGCCTTCCCTGCCCCAGGCCTGCAGGCAAGGGGTAACACATACCAATAAGCCTCTAGATTCTCCCTCTATCTGAGCTGGAGGCAGGGAGACAGGCATCTTTGTGAAAGCTATACGCTTTTTTTAAGGCTTGGACTAAGCCTGGTTAACCCAGCAGGTGGATATGACAAGCACTGAGTCTGCTCACCAAGATCTAAGAAGTTCAAAGGTCCTGATTCCACTTGCTTTATTGTGCCTGTTCTCTCTACCCCAACCCAGACCAGGAGAGCAAAACTAAGGGCTTGTATCTCTGTGTCCTTGGGGTCTAGCTAAGTGCCTAGGTTAAAGAAGGTGCAAAATGAATACTTGTCAAATGAATGAATGAAAAACACGAAGGCAGCTAGGAAATATTTCTAACAGAAGGTCTTCTGGATGGCTTGATGAGGAGTTTTCAAACCATGTTTGGGCAAGACTCTGCGTCCAACCTTCTTTTGAAAATGACTCAGGCTCTGCATGGGAGGAATGTAATCCCAGAAGGATGCTTGCTAGTAGGAAACCGGGAGCAGCCATGAGGTGAACCTGAGACCCAAGACTCTATCAAAAGGTCACGGAATTTGTCCAAAAGTCTCTGGCCATGTCAGTGGAAGGGGCAGAGTCCACATCCTGACCCATGAGTCCCCAGTAACCTTACTCTTTTCTGCAGTTATTAATAGCACTATCACAATGTAATGCGATGGCGTGTGCCTGAGTCTGCCTGCCACATTTGGCTGTGTGCTCCTCAAGGACAAAGAGTGAAGCCCATTCATCAATATGGGCTCAGCATTTGGCATGGGGCCTGGCCCCAGGACCTGCTTCATAAATATTTGTTCACTAAATGGTAGCTAAGGGCCTGCTTCCTATGCCTCACGCCTTTCCTCTTGTGTAAGGAAATTCATCATCTCACGCTGTGGCTGGGAATGCACATCAGACCTCATCCCCGGAGGGCCATTTGGCAGGGCCTTCTGCACAGTACAGTGCACATGCCCTTCAACCCCCAATTCCTGTCCTAGGGAAGCTACCTTACCAAACAGCCAAACAAGAGTTGAGAGAGATATGGACAAGGATGTGGTGGTAACGGCGACAAGCTGAAGGTAAATGCCTACCCTCAGGGCTGTTACTTGGATTACAGGTCAGTCAGCTAGTGGAAAAGGATGCAGCTGGATAGCAAAACGTGCCGGGGTTGGTGTGCTGACGGGAAGGGTGTCTGGAGAGGGACAGAGGGCACACCTCATGCGCCTTTGGTGTCTGAACATGACGTAGGTACATCAAAGGCTGGAATTGTTTTTTTTTTCAAGTTCTAGAAGGATACACATCTGGTTGTTCCATAGGCCAAGGGGGAGACTGTAGTATTCATCAGAGGAAAGAGGTCTGAGCTGTTGGTGGGCAGCAGAAAGTAGATGGGAAACTTCATCTGAACTTTGTTAGACAAGCTCACAAACTAAGTGGATCCCTTTCCTTTCACGTTTCCCTAAATATCCATCCCTTGGGAGGGGTCAGGGGCCAAGCCACTGGCTTCTTGAGGCACAAATCCTCATAGGTTGATTGTGGACTCCCGAGAGAGGAGAGCTGTCCACATGGCAGGGGTTTATGTGCCCCAGTCAGGACAGGCTTGATCTCATTTAACCCTCACATCAGAAAACTGGGGCTCAGGAAAGTAAAGGTCACACAGTTGCTTACATGGGAAAATGAACTCAGCTCTGCCTGAGAGGAGAGCCTGCGTGAAATGCATTTCGTCACTGGCTGTGCTATTTCCAAACCCTAAACTTGAGAAAGCTTCCATAGCCTCAATAAGCTGCGCTGGAGGAAGGGCAGGAGAGGAACAACTGGAGTGGGCAGGACATACCCAGACCACTTCCCTCCAGGACCACAGGACCTGGAGGCAGTGGGGAGGGTCTGTCCCACATCGGGCCTCTCCCACCGGAGATGTCAGGGCAGTCCAAGGAAGCCTACCTGAACCCTAGTCCCTTTCCAAGTGGTAATACTTCAGATGAGTCACTTTACCTCTTTGAGCTCATTTTCTCAGCAGAAAAATGAAGCAGAAGCATCCCCACTCATAGGACAACTTCACTTTCCTTGAGTTTCCTGTCTCTCTCTCTCTCTCTCTCAAATACACCTCTCTTGTGGAATAGTAATAGGTGCAAAGATAGCACGGAGTCCCTAGAGAGCCTTTACCTGGCTTTCTCTTTATCACCTAGCACAATAAAATGCTGTCAAGTAAAGAGATTAACACTGGTTCAGTACTATTAACTCTGCTACAGCCTTTATTTGAGTTTTAGCAGTTTTTCTACAAATGCTATTTGCTTCTGTCCCGGGTACTGAGGCAGGGTCCTGCTTTGCACTTGCTCATGCTGGGTCTTCTTCTTGAAGTTGGGACAGCTCCTCTGTTTTCCCCCAGCTTTTTGAGGCCTGGTTCCTTTGGAAGAGCACCCAGAGGCATCCCAGAGAAGACCTCCCAATCTGAGACTTAATGTTTTCTCACGACCTGGCTGGATTGGAGCTTTTTGAGGGAAGATCCCCAGGGGCAAGGTGCTCCTGCACATCCCACTGGGGGTGTATGATATCTGCAGGATTTACCAACTGGTGACACAAACCTTCCTCACTTTTCGCTGAGGCAGTGTCTCCAGGCTTCCTTACAGCAAAGCTATGGTTTTAAACTTCTATTCCTTGGCAGTGAGTTGTTGTATTCTATCCACACTCAAGGAGAGAAGAATCAAACTCTACTTCTGGGCAGTGAGTACCTGTATACATTATTTTATTCTTCTATAAGGAAGATTCGTCTCTTCTCAGCTATTTGTATTAGGATAGACTCATAGGTCTTCTTAAGTCTTTGAGCTCAACTAATAATGTCAGTATTAACTTCATAACTTTGCAGGTAGATCTCTGAGTCCTCCTGCAGGTCGGCTCTCGAGTCCAGACACAAGGTGCCCTGGCCACTTTGTTATCTTCCCTGCCTAGTACTGCAATTGGTCATTTTCTAAAGAGCCCTGGTTACTTCCATTGAAGAATCCTCTCTAGAAACCAAAATCTGGGTCTGTGACCTTAAAAATGGATAAGAACATCACATATAAAACATGCAAATCATTCCAAAGGCATGAAGAGCAAAGTAAATCTCCCTTAAGTCTCTCAATTCCAGTTTCCCCTCTCAGCACAGCTCCACAGGTGGAATGGAATATCCCTTACCCAGAATGCTTGGGATCCGCAAGTTTCTGGACTTTGTATGTTTCCAGAATTTGGAATAGCTGTGTGTACATAATGAGACACCTTGAGGATGGGACTCAAGTCTGAACACAAATCTAATTTATGTTTTAGGTAAGGTAGCTTTATACAATGTTTTTAGTGCACCTATGTATTGACTGCCACCTATCACAAGGCTCGGTGTGGGTTTTCCACACCCAGTGTCACGCTACTGTTCAGAACATTTTGGCTATCAGGGCAGGAAACGTAGCTCAGTAGTAGAGCATATGCCTAGATTATATGAGGCCCTGGGCTCAATGTCCAGCATTCCAAGAGAAACACTTTAGGAGTTTGGAGCTTTTTGGATTTCAGGTTTTCCAATAAGTAACTCTAAAACTGTACTGATAATTTCGTTTTACCCTTCTACAAACAGGTGATGATTCTACCTTGCAGGGCTACAGTAAGCACAGAAACTCAATGTGGAAATGGGTGAAGGACCTGGAAAGAAGTTCCCTGCTGCTTTTCCTTCTTTCTTCCCTGATCCAGAAGTTCTGTGCAGACGGTATAGGTACCCGGGGGCACAGGCAGGGGGTGGGAGCAGTGGTCAGAGGGCAGCTACTCACTAATGGCCCCGGTGTACGTTGGCTGTGTAAGGTCCTTGGGCACCTTCCTGTAGATGTCAAACCTGTGGAGAAGGAATAAAACGGGAGTGAGGAGGACACACGCATGGAAGGGTCTCGAGGCAGCAGGAGGGAAGGTGGCTGCATGGCGTGTAGGTCAGCGAGACTCAGTTGTTCCTAGACAAGTTCCTTCTGTTCCTTCAGACCCATTCTGCCCCTCTGGCCCAGACCTCAACAGCCTGCCCCACACAGCCCTCATCCCTCCACTGTCCTTCCTGCATCCTTTATCAAATCTTCTGTGTGACATTGCTACCCAAGGTCATTACTAGTGACTTTGCCCACTCATCTGTTTGTATTTCTCGGTGGGTCTCCATCAGAATATATCCTCCCTGAGGACAGGGACCTCATTAGGTTTTGTCCCCAAACCCCACATGGGCCTGGCATGCTGTGGACACTGGATCAGTTAACTGGAGGAAGAGCTGAACCCTTGAGCCTCGGTGATGTGGACACTGAAAGGGACAGGGAAAGGCTGAAGGCCGGGACTCTCTTGGCGCTGCGTTCCTGCTCTGCGTCACCTCCCGCCCCCTTTCCCTTTCCTGCCGCTCTGCAGCACCTCCTGCTTCCGCCCCCACTCCTTAGAGAGTCTCTAACTTTACAGCAGAGGTGAGCACAAAATCCAGTGGGGTGGGGGTGGCGGTGGGAGAAGAGTCTGGGCGTCAGCTGGTGAGAGCACTGCCTTCCCCGTGTTTTCCCTCCACCACGAACGACCTTTCCTTGCTGTGGGTGCCACCGCATACTCCTCCGCTGAGGGTATGTGAGAAAAGTCAGGGCTTTGGAATCACAGAGACATGGATTTAATCCTGAGCCTGTTTCACCACTGGCTATGTAAGTGTTAAAGCCCTGGATCAGACTGCAGACTGCAAAGGACCTCACTTGCCAGAGCCTCGCTTTCCTCATCTGTAAAAGTGGAGCCCTACCTAAGAGACCCTGCAAGGCTAACGAGCAGAGGAAATGTGTTTGCAGAGGATTAGATGCAGAGTTCACTAGGGAGGCGCCCACATACTTGGCTCCCTTCCCCTCTCTTGAACGTGAGCAGCAGACAGATCTCACACGGCAGAGATTTATCATCAAAGCCCTAGTACAAGACCATTCCCAGGCTCTAGGGTGGAGCTTGACTCAGTGGAATGGCTGGTGACAAGCTGGCATGTGACTCCTCTGGTGATTGGGAAACAAAATACAGTCTGCTAAGCCCAATGCAATGCCTGCCAAACTTGCATCAGGGCTGATACCTGACTCTGGGTGCTAATTACACAGGAAATGTGTTCTCACCTCAGGAGAGGAAAAGTTCCTGTGGGCTGCCAGGTTCAAAGGCACCACTTTCTCTGCTGTCTGCTCTGTGCTTTGGGCTTCTAGTGAAAGGCACCAGAAATTAGGGCTAGGGGTGTGGTAGAAAGAGAGCAGTGACGATCCCAGCTCTACACAGAAAGCTTCTAACTTGCGATAGTCTGACAGTGGTTTTACACCTGATCATGGTATAAAGGTGTCACTGTTACAGTGGATTTACTGGGACGTAGCCTCACAGTAAGTTGAGGAACCTGAAGAGGAACCAACTGGAGGTGTGGGCTAGAGGTTCTGACCTGCCACGTGAAGCCAGAACTTTCAAAATTCACATGGAAGCTCCCGACTCTCCAATTTTGGGCCAATGCAGTGCAGGATAAGAGAAGTCTGCAGATCAAACAGCATCTGCTTGTGACCCACCCTGGGCTGAGAAGGCAGAGCTGGACAGAGTCAGCCTCACATCTGAGGAAGGACACTTCGGCCAGGGGAGTGGGCATGTGGAGTCCAGACTGGAAAAACAAGCAACAGGCAGTGCTGTGAGAGCAGGGAACCTGTCCCCACCCTGGCCCAACTTGGTTATCCATACTTAGAAAGTCCCTTGCCGGACCTCAGTTTCCCTGAACATAAAACAAGAAGGTGCCCAGAGGCTCTGAAAGGTTCCTTCTGGCAGTTCCCTGAGGCTCGCGCCACCCCACGTGGCTAATGATTCAGCTTTCCGATCAAATCATCATTAGAAGCCCAGAAACAGAAAACTGGACCTCTCATTTAAAAACATATATATTGTTTCAAAATTGCATGTTTTGGTGGAAGCCAGAGCTTGCTCTGGTTGAAGGGAGGCAGAGCATCAAGATGCACAGGAAGGGGAAAGAAGGGTGGTTAGGGGGCCTGATCAAATATGGACATATATTGAGGATAATGGGGTTCAGGTGCTTTCGTGCTATAGGAAGAAGGTGCAAACGTGCTGGAGGGGAAGAAATAGGGCACTGATGTGAATTCATTCACTGGTTTTAAAACACAGACAGATACAGAACTAGACATGTACATACACATCATGTGTACTCACATCCCCTAGCTCCTTCCCTAATGCAGGTCTGGGAACTGCAACAGCTCACCAGCCATGAGCACAGCTGGCAGCCACATCTCAGCTTTTCATTCACCCCCTACTCACAGGACCCAGGGCACCCTGCACAAGTGGCTGGTTCCAGGGCTGGGAAAGGAATACACAAGATGAGCCGAGTTTCACTGTAGGTCAGAGAACAGGAAAGTGTTCAAAAAATGCAGAGGAGATCCATGGGGCAAAAGGTCAGCTTAGCAGGACTAGTGCTGGCCAAAGAAAAGGCAGTGTGAGCATCTCAATGAATAGTAAGAGGCACTGATCATTCATTGGCTAAAATAGGAAACCATGGATCTGAACACATATAGAGAAAGAAATGGATAAGGCCAAAGTCTGATGAGAAACAGAACATTACCTCCCCATAAAATTGTAATTACAAAGAAGGCATCAAGGTAACTAAGCAAGGATGTGAACATCACCAGGAAGGAGACACAGCTACCTCAGGTGTCTCCGATATGCCACACAAAAGAGGCCACAGCACTGCTTCTTTGGCAGGCAGCACAGCAACCATACCCAAGCTGGTAATAGGCCAGCATTTGTCAACAGCGTGGAGGGTACAAAGACAGAGGAACTGCCGAGGGTTACAGGAGACTAGACACATGACAACTTCATCTGATGTGGTAACCCGGCTCATCAGCGAGACAGTGCATCACATTTGAGTAAGACTTGCAATTGGTCAACAGTACTGCATAATGCTATTTCCCTAGTTTTGAAAATAGTGCTATGATTTCAGTCTTTGGGGAGCTTACATGAAGGGTATATACAAGCTGTGCTATTTTTTTACTTTGGGAGGCAAATCTGAAATTATTTCAAAACAAAAATTAAAGATATTTTTAAAAATATTATGGGCATTTTAAAACATTACAGGGAGAGATGACACCTACAACCCCTCTTAGGCTGCTATTTTTTCGCACATGCCCTGTCCCTGTCGAGTGTGCTGCATGTCAGGCCGAGTACAGAGTCTTTGTTGGGGGCAGGCATGGAGGGAGGGAGAATGAGTGGACAAAGCTGGAAGAGGGACAGTGAGACCACAGCGAAGTACAGGAGGAAACCAAAGGCAGCGAGTAAGTGATGCTACGCCACGACCACTTCCCGCCCAGGCCGGGCGCTTTGGCACACGTGTCCCATTTGCACTTCATTCTCACAGTAACCCTGCTATGTTTTTAGGGGAAAAAAGCTCGAACGGAAGCAACTTGTTCAAAGTTACTGAGCCAGTGAGGAGCACAATTACGGTTCTGAGTCCTTAGGCCGTGATCTTTCTACTGGCCCATATTTGGAACAGCTTAGGGCTTACTTACTGGAAAATTACTTTAAGGTCTTACAGTTTTACTCATTTGCTTTTCCAAAGATGCTGCCCAGAAGGAGGTGGGAATCTCTTGGAAGACAGAAACCAGTTGAAAATTCATTCATGAGGCCAGGGATAAAGCTCAACAGTACAGTGCCTGCCTGAGTTTGATTCTCAGCACAAAACAACAACAAAAACCAACAAAATTCATTCATTCAATTCAAAAGTATTTACAAAGCATCTACTGTATCCTATAGTGTTCTAGAGGGTAGGAAATGGAATTAATTAACACAGACATAGTTCCTGTCCTCATGAAACTGTCAACCTACCCAAACTTTTAGCTCCTTGGAAAGTACATTAGTACACAAAGCATACAGTAAAAATGACTCTATTTCCATGCCACAGACCCAAGCTGGTGAACAGTGGAGGGTAAAAGGACATCTGAAAAGGACCCTGATTGCAGAGCTGACCACAAGCCGCGTGAGTCAGTCGTGGATGTCACTGAGAAACCGGGCCACAATAGGCTGGTGAGAACTCCAGGCATGTGACAGTCGAGGAAGTGAGCCGTCCATCCTCTCTGGTTTGCATTAGTCAGTCCCTCGCTGTGGTGATGTGATCACTGTGGCCACCTCACCATCAAGAGAATGTGGAAGAAATGGTAAAGAGAATGGGGGAGGCAAAGGGGTGCTGAACACAAACCCAGTAGATGCCAGGGTCACGCTCGGGCTGAAGGGCTGGAACTGCTTAGCTTCACACAGAGCAGGTTGAAGGGCAGATTCTGTATTTCCCTGCCCTCCTGCAGCTTGTGAGTCTCCCTACCACAGGTCCCAGGCCTTGCTCCTTGAGCCCTTCTCCCTGCCCAGGCTTGCCCAGCCCAAGCACTTGGGGAAATTGAGCCAATGAATGGACTGGCCCAAGGATGAAGCCCACAGGCTGGCCTTCAAAATGAGAGGAAGGCCAGGCATGTGGCACATGCCTGTAATCCCTGCACTTGGGAGGCTGAGGCAGGAGATCTCTGTGAGTTTGAGACCAGCCTGGGCTACACAGCAATATCCTGTCTTTTTTTTTTTAAAAAAGTATTTAAAATAAAACAAGTCAACAGAAACCTATGAACCCCTCATACCTATCATGTCCTTGAAAAGGTTTATGGCAGTGATTTTCAAACAGGAACAAGTGAGACATTCCTAGGTAAATAGATGAAATTTGAGACCATAATCTTAGGTGAAAAAAACTGGACACGCATGTGTAAATACCGCATTGCTTCTCTGGTGTGAGAAACTGAAAGTATAAATAAGGACCAAAATATGTAATAGGTATTGTGAAATAGG